ATGCTATCTCAATGCTTGCTGACCAGCTTATCGCAAATAATCAGTCAAAATAATCCTTCAATGGCCAACATAATGGCTGAATTCAAGGCTGGTTTTAGATTTCAAATGAGACTACCTCAAATTGAAGAATACTGTCACAAGTTATTAATCTCTTTAATTGCTGTAGGGGACTTTTTATGCTGGTGCAGCAATAGCTTTACATGAGGACGGCTTGAAGCTACATGCATGTATTAGAACAAAAGATTTTGAATTTGATTTTTTGAATTGACAGGCCACTTCATAGTTTAGTTATAAAAAGAAGTCCATAATGTAGGGTTGGAGTTAAGTTCCCCATGCTCAGGCAGTGCCCGAGCATGTGGAACTTAACCCCACATCCACATTATGAGTTATTCAGGCGTGGTGCACAGGAAATATAGCATAAAAGGTGTAGTCAAGAAAGCCATAAATGCAGCATAGATAGAGTACAGGAAGCTGTACTCTAATATCTTTGCATAGTTGCATACAGCCATGAACTCTAATATCTATGATACAGCATGAGGCAAAGCCGAGTGCTATTTGGCTTTTGAGACCACACCTTAAGTGCTGTATTTCTGGGAACCAAGTACGTATGTGCAGTAAAGGCAGCAGCCCTAGGCCAAGTGAAGATTTGCCTAAAGAGAACCAAAAAAGACTGTATCTGCTCGTGGAGTCTTTACATCGTGCTGCTCTACCTAGTTAGAATGGACTCACAGTTTATACAAGAGGAAACTACAAACTGTGCTGTATCACAGAAGGGTGCTGTACTGTGCTTTTTACTCCATTTGGATTACATTTGCATGCTCCATAAACTGCATAATACATGCACATAATATGGAGTAGAGGGATTTACGGAACACACGATGATCCAAGTGGAAGTGCAGTATGAGGTAGAAATTTTTATGGCCCAAAAATTCATTCAAATTTTTTTGTGGTTTCAATTTTCACAATTTTCTGCCTTTTGACCATGTTAAACTGTATTAAATTTATTTTGTGGATTTTATTTTTGTGAATTTTGAACAAATTGCAAATTTTACAAAAATTTGGCCCACAAAAGATTCCAGCTATACAATATGCAGCATGGGCGGTGCCTTTGATGTACCCATGCACTACACTATAAAACTATAACTATTGAATATTTTTATTATAGGTTTTAATGTTGAAACAGCTAAACAAAAGATCAAACAAGTTATGAATCAAAATCACGCTGATTTTGCTGAACTCCTGCAGTTTTCTCTGGGCCAAGTTGCTAACAAACTGTTTCAGGCTGAGATAATTCCCCAAGAAATTCAAGAGTCACCAACTTATAATGCCATAGCCAAATACTTTCTATCTATGATGAATATATTAGACTCTAAGTCTGCTCTAGAGAAACATTGCATGATGTTTCTAGAGGCTCTGTCTAGTGCTGGGGGACCAGTAGAACATGTTGCTAAACGCTTGCGGAAAAAATGGACAACAGCTCTGGAGGGTGCACTTCAGTTTGGACATGAAAGCAGTTAGAATAATGATGATGATATTATACACTATTAAATTTTATTTTCAGCTTTTATTATTTTTTATTGAGCTTTATAATGTTAGTTTTAAATTTTTAAAGTTATTTTATTAGCTTCATTGACTATTATGTACTTGTAGACTAAGAATTATGCTTATGCCTTGCATTCATTAAAGTTATTTGTGCCTATATCTTTGTTTTTATTGTTATGTAAATTTGAGGTGTTCAGAATCATATTCATAATTTCTCAGAAATGGGAGTAGTAGATGGTTTGTAATCAAACTGTATAGGTGGAACCAGGGGCGTATCTAAGGGTGGGCCTGGGTGGGCCTGTGCCCGACCAACTCAGCAGACCAAAAAATTTTTTTCTTTTGTATATTAGTCCTTTTAAAAATATTGCTCACTTTATTATGATAGCAATGAGACAAGACTAGCATAGCTAATAGTTTTAGCCAGTGTAAATATAATGATGACATGGTAGAGACTTCCATAGCTCCATTTGGGCAATTGGGCTGCCATTTTAAAAATAATAACTACTACTAACCAATCAGTTATTAGACTATTCACATTAATTATTAAAGTAATCGAGTTGAAAATGGCTAAGAAACTCTGCTGAGTCTGTTTGAATGTCTTCCCAAGGCCAGTACTACTACTAATGAAGAAAATATAAGCACTGAAGTGCACATCTTAGCTTAATTAAAGTAATAATCGTAGTATTTAATTGACCACGCCCATCATGAATATTAATTAGCTCTAAAAATTTTCGCGGCGCGCTTCGCGCGCCGCATATTTTTTCTCCGTGCCCAGCCAACTCTCAGAGCTTAGATACGCCCCTGGGTGGAACTTGGAAGGGAAATGACATTTGCCAAGTTGAGTTTCTAAAAGAAAAGAGATGGCGTCTAAGTAAGTCTCATATAGGCAGACTATGTATCTTCATTTGAGACAATACATAACATTAAGAGTATATAATGTATATACTCAGTCTTGATTACATTATGTCATTGAATATAAGAATAGTGCTTTTTATAACCTATCATTACTTCATTAGACTAAATACTTTGTTTTGTTCAGTTTTATTTTTTTTCAGTGATTTCTAGTTGGCTGAATCACTTGATGCTACTAGTACCCCTAGTGATCAGGATACCTGCTTTGTTGATGGTCATTAAGATTAATTTTACCAGGATAAAACCTAATTTGATGATGCATTTGATGACATAGCCATTGCACTTGATCAAAGTTGAGCCGTTTGGTAGATTATGTATATATTTTGATCATTTGTTCTGTAATTTAGATTGGGATTTAAAATAGTCATGTTGTTTTTTTCTGATGAGAATCCTGGATACAACTGCATCAGGGACACCCTCCAGACCTGCAGTGTTGATGTGAGCTTGAAGAAAAAGAAGAAGAAGGCTGGTATGTTCCTTGCTTTAAAGTCTTTGTTAAGCACAATCCCTCCATTTTAATTTCCCATTAATTAGACCGTGTTGGTTTGGCTGCTGATCAAATTTACTATGGAGAGTTGGAAAGCCTTGGATCTGCTAATTGTAAGGCTTTCAATCATCATGATTTGCCAATATTTTATGTAACTGCAGGTCTTGTTGCTGATGTGACCTATCCATCTCTTGGTGTTGGCTATGAGATCAGCTTTGCTCAAAACAAAGGCTACAAAGTTGTTTGTCTCTTCCATAAGACAGATGACCGTGGTAAGTTGGACGACTGCTTATATAGTTTGCATAGGCAATTAGACATACGTACAGAAAATGCATACAGTTGTATAAAAAATGTAAAACATTAAAGGGCTCAGCCCCCAAGCCACTCTATTTTGTTGTGCTGTGAGACGTACAGGCAGACCGCACATGAGCAGGAAAGCATTAGTGAACATGTATATATATATATACACAGTTAATTCTTGATGTAATTATCTTGCTTAGAAATATAAGTTTTACCATCAGTTCATCATATTGTGCAGCAATTAAAGTTATTTTGCTTATAGCATTAAATAATGAAGATAGGCTTATTTAACTTTAATAATAGTTAGACAACTATACATGCATGCATGCATACAGACGTTTTCTCATCTTAGTGGGTTTTGCATGCCCAATTAATTAAAGTTCAATTGCTTCAATGAGTAGGTGACGTGATCTATTAACTTTATTTTTCTTGCAGATGTTGATAATCTTTCTCCAATGATCCGTGGTGCCACTGGTCCTGGTTTTTATGTGGAGGCTTACGAGACTGAGGAAGATCTGAAGAGATCAAAGAGAAGGACACTGAGAATCTACAATAATAATATTATTAATGCATGCTATAGAACAGATTTCACAAAAATTATAATAGTATATTACATATAGCTTGTTGATGCTTAGCTCAGTTTAAAAGTAGCTATAAATCTTTTAAATGCGTCAAATTTTTTAACATTGTCTTGTGCCAGTGTGCAGTGTCTGTAATGCCAATGATAAATCCCTAGATTTAGAGGGATACTAAGTAATTACAGTAACACTGTCACATGTATTTATGAAAATTTACTCATGATAATAAATTAAACCATGATTACATGGAAAAATAGAATTTTAATTGTTATGTGGAGGTGTGTCTGTACTGTGTCACTTGAAATCAAAATGGCGAGTCCGAGTCCTGATTCTTTGAGAACAGATCCTGTTATTGTTGAGAGCTCCCAGCCTCTAGAAGAGCAGCCTTCTCCTAAATTTACACAGGATCCTGATAGGGTACGTTGAACCATAGATATACGACTGTTAGAGGGATTGGAGACTCTTGGCAATTAGCCTCACAATTCAGTAGCGAGGGGTCCGCAACGAAGAAAAATCTGGTACACTTTCCAAAAAATCAAAAAAATCCAGTAAAAGAATCCAATAATCCAATAAAAATCCAATAATCCACAGAAATCCACCAGTAATCCAGAAAATCCTTGCAATAATCCAAAAAATCCAAGGAAATCCAGTCACAATATTCAAAGATTTACTGTCTGTGATTTATTAACCATTAAAAATAGTTAGTTAACTGCTATTATTAAACGAGTGACAATTTTTAATAGTTAATTGACCATTATTAAGGCCACTCCAATTAGATTAGTAGTTTCCCGTTTCCCGCCCGCATATGCCGCTTCAAATTTTTGTTAAATTCAATTAATTTTTATTATATTCAATTTTAACCACTAGTCCACTACACTACTACCTCGAGGCTCGTGCTTTGAACCGTAGATAGTAGACTACTATCTATGTTTGAACAGTCAACAGTGTAGGTGGAAATCGGTGGAAATTGTTGTCTGCTCGTTGAAATCTACAACCGAGCGGTGTATCAATGATCCATACTGGGTCATTGATATCGCTATATCTTCTACTCCTGGGCTTTCTTTGCCTGTACCACCAGGCTGCACAACCAGGCTACACATATCCTACTAGCTCTCTGACTGCTGTCATATTCTCAACCTTATACGAGACCTCTCACTCTCAAGGAGTCACTAATATCGTTGATCAATCGGAATTTATCAGTCTCGTGTCATCGACTAGTCACGTCAACTCATTACTATAGTAATTGAACTCTTTCTCTCTCCTCCCACTCTCCTTCCCTCTCCTCTTTTTCTTTCCTTCTCTCTTTGTCACTTTTGTTTTGAGCCGGCACTTACAGCCAATCAGTATCCGGTTG